CTATCGTGTATAGGTATTTTCAGTTTATAGCGTCTGTTTGCAGATAGTTGGACGTCCATAATTTATAAAGCGTGAAGTGTTTAAAGACAAACATGATGCTAGACTAAACAAATCTACTTTAAACATTATTATGAGAAACGCTGTAACTGTAATATGCTATCTTGTGATAAGTAAGTAGGTACGAACAATTAACAAAGTTCATTGTTGATACGTATGTTGGTGATGTACAATTCTCATCACGCGTGTATTTATTAAAAATATAATCGATATAGATTTTAATACGATGAGTTATCGTTTATTCCATTAATTTGAATAAGAGGTATTGTACATTTTTTTAATGAAAACCCGTGTTTTTAAACTCAAAATCTTAAACATTAAATTTTTCAATATTTCTACGTTTAAGGTATCGGAGAGAATACTAATATAATATAATAAGCCAATAATTTAATGATATTATTTGTAAAATGTAATTTTACTGATAGAAAATTCAACAATAATATATAGAGGATGTCAAGGRTTGAGTTTTTAAATGTTTATTATTTTATTATTATAAATATATTAAAACTAATCTAAAAGTCAATGTTTTAATACATTATGTAGTTTACAAATGCATATTCTAATGATACTGAAAATATCGTATTGATGATACGAATTTGAATTGGATCGACCTACGTGACTCCTGGATTGGGATAGGTTATGCTTTTATAGGAACTTAAGATTTCATCATAAAAGTCATTTAATTATTTTTATCAAATATTATCGTTGGTTTAAATTGTTGGACGAGGATAATAATTGTATTTTAATATACTATAAAAATATACTCGGCATTTGCGGTATTATACGCGCGATATAGTGATTATAATAAAGGGGTCTGAAAAACCGTATTTAAATAATTACATTTTTAATAATGATAATATTATGTTTTCTTTTTACATAAGTATCGGTTAACACTAAATGTATGTATAGGTACGGTACAATAATGTTTACATAACAAAAATAACATTATAACGACCATTTATGGCAGGGACGATGCTGTCACGCTGGAGAGGATAGAAAATCGGAGGTACCTGTCCTATATACATTATTTTGGATTTGCCATTAATATCATATAATATGTATAGTATTATATTATATTTTGTATAATTATTATACAAAGATCAATCTGACCACAGCATGTGGAAAATAATCTGTACACATACTTTTCCCACGGATCGATAAATATTATTCAGGGAACACCTRAACAATCGTATATATACATATATATGATATATAAGCACATTACGCCATATATATGATATATAAACACATTACGCCCATTCGAACAATGGTGGCTGTTTTTGAAAGTATTATAAAAGGTCATTATTTTGGTCCAATAATAGAATGGTTAATGGAACTTTTATTTTATTTTTTTAAATACTATACCATTCTTTTAAATTTTAACTAACTCGAATCTATAAATATTCAATTGGGTATA